TCAGATCCCTCTCCTCTCTCTATCCAAACACCTATCATTTTCTTTTTCTTTAAAAAAATTTTTTTTAAAGGTAATACACTCATACACATTCCTATGTTTTTAAATTTTTTTCATAATCTTTCCTTGAGTGGTCCAGTTCTTCAACTTTATCCTCCAGTGTTGATATTCTGTTTTCTATTTCTTTAATTCTAGTGGTGAAACTTTTCCGTTGTTTCAAGTTGGCTTATTGAGTTTTGCACTTCCTTCTTCATTTCTGCCTGAGTTTTCTTCAATATTTCTATCTCTCTGTGAGTTCATGTAGAAGTTTATCCCCATCTTCCTTTAGATCTTTGATTATTTTGTTCATGTGTTCTTTAAATTCATTGAATTCCTTGATCATGTTTATGATTGTTCTTTTAAAGTCAGTGTCCTGGGTTATCTCTAAGGGGTTCTCCTTGTAGAACTCTTCTACAGAATTGGTGGAGTTTGGTGGGGATATAGTGTTTTGGCTTTCTCGTTGTGGTTTTGGCATGTGAATTTCTTTTGTTGTTTATGATTCTGATATGAGAATTAAGTTGAAGTATGCTTCTGTTTGTATTATCCGGGTGCTTAGATCCTTTCTTTATTGGTTATGCAAAGCTGGTTGGTACAAGGTTCAGGTTCTCTCAGGTTTAATGTGGAGGGACCTGATGGCTTCAGATCAGCTATTCAGGAGTACCCACAGAAGCCCAATTCAGGTTCCAGTCAGGTACATTCAGGCTTCCTTCACCAAGTGGAGGCAGGATCCGGGTGCTCTCAGGCAGTCAGTCCACCTTCTCAGGTTGTCTGCTAGGATCTCAGCTTTAGCCTGCATTCTCAGCCCTGCTGTCAGAGAGAGGCTGGAAGGAGGCCAGAATGCTGGCGATCTGCTGAGATCAAAGCTGCTACACAATGGAGGTAGGAACCCACTCCCCCAGGCTGTCTGCTAGGATTTCAGCCTTAGCCTATCAAAGCCAGATCTTCCCTGGGGCTTTGGGAGGGGCCTCACAAAAGGCAGGGGGATAGGTATGGTGCATTTAGGGGAAGCTCAACAGCAAGTGGAGGTAGGATCTGGGGGCTCTCAGACAGTCCCCTGTGTTCTCAGCCTGTGTCAGAGAGAGGCCAGAGGGAGGCCAGAACTCAGCACTCTCTAGAGGTCTGCTGGGATCAGAGCCACTACACGATGGCGGTCGGAACCCACCTTCTCAGGCTGTCTCGCAATAGCTTTTATGTAATGATTTCTAGTGTCTTTTTTTGAATTATAATTTCCATATTATAATTCCATCCCTTAGCAGTGTATGATTTGATAAGTCTAGTATATTAAAAACGTGTGCATAATTATACACAATTACACATTATAAATAATTCCAGAATGCTTGTATCATTCCTTCCAAAGAAACCCCAACCTCATTAGCAGTCACTGCATCATCTCTGCCCTTAAGGCCTGGTGAGCACTAATCTTTCTCTACGGATTTACCTATCCTAGACCTGGCATACAAATGGAAGCAGCACTAGGTAGCTTCCTTCACTTAGTATGAGGTTTTCGAGATTCAGCAGTTTGTAGCTTGTATCCATAAATCATTGCATTTCAGAGATGAACAATATTCTATTGCAATACCACATTTTATTTATCAGCTCACTAGTTAACACACATTTGAGTTCATTCTTGCTATTATTAAGAACGCTGAATTGGGGGTTGGAGAGATGGCTCAGTGGTTAAGAGCACTTACTTCTTTTGCAGAAGACTTTTGTTTGGTTCCAAGCACCTACATGGTGGCTAACAAACCACCTGTAACTCCAGTTTCAGGGGTTCTGATGCCCTCTTCTGGACTCTATGGACACTGCATGAGCGTGGTGCATAGATACACATTCAGGCAAAATGCTCATACACAAAATTAAAAAAAAAAAACTTGGAAAAAGAATGCTGTTATCCATGTGTAAGCATCTCATAGCTCTGTGTTCTTATATATTTGTGTATTTAGGAATGGAATTGCTGGGTCATGTGACAGTTTTGTTTGCTTTTTGAGGGACTGTCAAACACCATTGTACATTTCCACCAACAATATATGCGGCTCCTGATCTTCCTACTCTTAGCACTTGAGATTATCTTCTCGGTTGCAACCATTCTAGTTCATGCAAAGTGATATTGACTGTGGTTTGGTTTTCATTCCCTAGTGACTACAGATGCTGAGCATCTTCTCATATTACCATATTATCTCTCTAGCAACTATGGATTCTGAGCATCTTCTCGTGTGCTGTGGTCTGTATCTCCTTAGTGACTACAGATGCTTATTTATTGTTTGTGTATTTTTTGGAGGAATTTAAATTCATTGCCCATTTAAAAATCAAATTATTAAGCCTTCTTATTGCTAAGTTGTGGGGGTTCTTTAATCGTATGTTCTAGACTAGTATCTGGTATGTTACATGTAAGAAATATACTCTGTAGTTTATCTTTGGCATTCTTAGTGTTCTTTGAAGCATAAACTTTTCCTTTTTAAAATTTTGGTGATGCTTTTATTTTGGGTGTCATTGCCTAAGCTAAGGATGAAAAAATTCACATCCAGATTTTCTTTCATCGCTCGCTTCAGCACTTTTCTTGCCCTGTGAGAGTCAACACTGGATGGAGAGAGAGATGGATATAAAGACAGATACAATGATCAGGGAGACCAGGGAGGGATAAACTGGCTCAGCAACTGTCACAGTAACAAGCTGTGCATGTTTATAGTGTATTGTGAGTGTGTGTGAGTGCGTGTGTTTATATTTAGTGCATTCTGTGGTTCCTTGTCATTACTACACAGTATTCTTTTTAGGAATATACCACATTTTATTTTTCATTGAGACTTTCGCCCATCACTTTCTGATGCTCAAGTCTCAGTGTCTTGCTGCATGGTATGTAATATATTGGGTTCGGTCCCTTCTCTAGCAAGGAGAAAAGGGAAGGCAAGGTTTTCCGAGAGTTTAGGGACTGCAGGCTGACACAGCGCTACTGTGCTTCAGAAGCAAATGCAGAGAGACTGGAGAAGGGTGCTGGCACTTTCTTCCTTCTGAAGGGCAAAGCTTTACTTCATTTGGGTAAACTGTTCCTTCACACTCAGCCCCAGGACCATAAAGACTACCTGCTCCCTCCTGCTCTGCTGAGAGACATTAGGGGTAGATGGGACTTAAGAATGAAGTTAGAGGTGGCAAGCAGTGGAAAGAGGCAGATAGGTATAAGTCAGGTCATCTAAGTACTTCTGTCTCCATGGTGCAAAATGGAGCATTTTGGTTAGAACCCCAATACAAAGTACAACCAGCAGGACAACGTCTCCCTGGAATGGATTGAAAAGATGAATGAACAAGAGTGTGAAAAGTGTATTCTAAGGTCAGGGGTAAGGAAAGCAGCAGCCGTCTTCCCTGCAGAAATCCCCACTGTCCCGGGGGAGCAGATTCTGCTAGCAGAATAGACACTCACATTTGGCTGGTCTCACTTCCCACCTTGACCTACCTGGTATGTTCCCTGTGGCTTTGCAATAATAGACGTTCCATCCCCAAAGGTGGCACAGCAGCTGCTGTCCTCACAGTTGGTGATAACAGTGGCATAGTGTGAGCTTTCTATCCGCATGCACTTCACCTGTCTGGTGACAGTCCTGGGACCTTCAGCTACAGGCAAAATGCAAGGTAAACAGATCTGATAGGGTGCATACAGTGGAGACAGGCCTCAGACTACGGATTTGCCTACTGCCTCCTGGCTATGTGGATTCTCCAGGGTTAAAAACCTGGGTGCTAAGAACTCCACAGGGTTGGAGTATGGCCGATGGTCCTTGTCAATTCAGAATAGTTCTAGAATACATCTTCATACTTTATATACTGTTTTATTCTCAGTATTCTTTTTAAGAAGTTGGAAACATCTAATTTTTAAAGTTAAAAAGTTGAAAAGCACATAATATATTCACCGGTGAAAACTGGTTTTGAACTCCTGGTCCTCCTGCCTCATGGATGTTTGTTACTATTTATCATATTGTTTCAAAATTTATTATATGTGGGGGCTGGAGAGATGGCTCAGTGGTTAAGAACACCAATTGTTCTTGGAGAAGACCCAGGTTCAAATCCTAGCACCCACATGGAAGCTAACAACTGTCCGTAACTCCAGTTTCAGGGGCTCTGACGGCCTCTTCTGTTCTCTGTGGGCACTGCACAACACGGGTGCACTTACCTACATGCAGGCAATACACGCATACACATAAAAAATATTTAAAAATTTACCATATGTGTATGAAGAAAATTGTAGATAAAGCTGAGCTTTCCTTAAATGACTCTATTTACTTTTGCAGTTCATTTTTACATTGTTATCTGAATATAGGTTAAGAACACTGTGTGAGGATTTATGTGCTTTATATTTACATAAATCATATACTACTATACTATGCTACGTGATTATATAATTACCGTGCCTATCATTTTGTACCTGTGTCTTCTTCAGCATTGTTTTGAGGTCTCAAACAATTTTTTATATTTCATTTTATATATAATTTCATACATCAGCATTGTACATGTATTATTTCCACCCTCAGTTCCCTTTCAACTCCCCCCATGGCCAACCACTCCCTTTCGATTTCTTGTCCTGTGGTTTAATTACTATTGTTATATAGATGTACATACATTTATAAATATACATATACACATAGTGTACTGAGCCCATTTAGCAGTGCTTGTGCATATCTGTGTTTAGGGCTAACTGCTTGGGATCAGATAACCTCTCAGGGAGCTAGTCCATGAAGAAAATTCATTCTCCTTCTCTCAGCATCTATTGATTGCCTGTAGCTCTTTATCTAAAGGTGGGATCCCATGAAATTTCCCCCATCCACCTTGGTTTGGTTTTGTCATTATTGAAGATCACATTAGATGATCATACTATGGAGATTTCATAGGTGTGGATTCCCTATCATGTGTAGAATGCATTTTCAGCAGGTGTCTTGTCCTTCTGGCTTTTACATTTCTTTTTGCCCCATCTTCTTCCATGTTCCCTGAGCCTTAAAGTTAAAAAGTTGCATTAAAGTTAAAAAGTGTGGAGTTTGCATTATAGATGTATCACTTAGGGCTGGGAATCTCTCAGTCATTTAGTCTCTATATTTTGACCAATTGTGTGGAGTTCACTGGCCACTGGGACCCAATCTCCTGGTTCCAGTCAATTGTGCACAAAGAAGCTTCTTTAATGAGTAGTGAGACGTATACTTGTTATCTAATGATTCGGAATTTTTTTGACAGAGGGTTTCATTATGCAGCACAAACTGGTTTTGAACTCCTGGTCCTCCTGCTTTTGCCTCCTGGATGCTAAGATTATGGGCATGTATTACTTTGCTTGGAGTCTCTAGCACTCTTGGTGTATGTCTGTGTTTGATTTAGTGATATATACATATATATATATATGCTTATGTTGAGTGTATTACATGATTCCTTATCACCACTACATAGTGTTCCTTTTAGTAACATATATTTTGTTTTTCTATTCTGTCGCTGGCGGGAATTTATGATTCTTCAATATTTCAATCATATTTAGTGTTGAAAATAGCACCCTTGTACCCGTTTCCTTCTGTAAACATAGGAAAGTGTATCTATACACAGAAACTCAAAGTTAGTATGTCTTATGATACACGTGATGTTATAGGGAGGGATGGAGAGATAAAAGTCACTTAGGCAAGATAAACAATTCTAGAGACCTACTGTTCTGTATGAGGACTATAGTCAACAATATTGTATTGCACAATGGAACTAGTCCAATAAAGTATATTTTAGTTATTTTTGATCTATATATATATGTACAAGGTAATACTGTAAGGTGATGGATATGTTAATTTGTTTGACTAGGGTGGTCACTATTTCTGCAGATATTAGAGTGCTGTGTTATATACCTTAAATATATACAATAAGTAACTACAAAACTGGAAATTAGAGGAAAAGAAGTCAGGGAATAACTTGGCTTTGTAAATGCTCTTTAAATTTAGGTTAGGTTGAGTGGTATACTTCCAAATTCTTTGAGCAGGTTACAGTTAATTAGTAATTGCAGCTTCCTTGTTTTTTATTTTTATTTTTATTTTTGAAAAAGGGTCTACAGCTGGCCTGAAGCTCACTGTGTAGACCAGGCTGGCCTCCATCTCACAGAGTGCTGGGATTAAAACTGGGTGCCTGGCAGCTTCCTTATTTTTACACTATCTTTCTGACAGTGAGATACTTAGATGTGAAAGACTTGTCTGAGGTCACCTGCTTATAAAAGTAAACTTGCTAATGGTCAAAGGAGACAGATCTTAGAGTCAGTATCAAGGATGAATCAATCATGATTATTAGTTTTTAGTTGTCATCAATTTGGACTATAAATTTTTAGTAATAAAAGGGGACAAGACCATTACCGTTCATCAGCCAACACAGATGTTACAACTCCTGTCTCTACTGAGGATAAACAGCACAATAAGAGGTATTAACGTGCTCCCTTGTTCATTGTAGCCATGATTCACAAGAGCCAAGATTTAGAATCCATCTAAGTGTCCTTCATGGGTAAAGAAAATGTGATGAAGATACATGATGAAATATTGTTCAGCTTTAAAGAAAAAAGGAAAGCCTGTCGTTTGTGATGGAGCTGGAGGCCTTATGTTGAGTGAGTGCCAGGAACAGGAGAACAAACACTATTTACATATGAAATTTTAGAAGTTGAGCTCACAAAAGTAGAGTAGAATGCTGATGCCTAGGGGTTGTGTGATTTCTAAAGGTGTCAAAGGGTACAGTGCATCCATTACAGGGAAAGTAACTTCCAGATATCTTGAAGAGCATAGTGACTGTAGTAAATATATTAATGTATTTAAAATTGCTAAGAGTAGATTTTAAGAGTTCTCAACTCAAAAAAACGATGCATGTGAGGCACTTTGCTCAATGATTCTGCAATATACACACATTTCAAAATATGTTGCACATGATAAATAGATACAATTTTATTTATTAAAAATACAGCTCAATGCCTTTAATCCCAGCACTCGGGAGGCAGAGGCCAACAGATCTCTGTGAGATCGAGGCCAGCCTGGTCCCTAGAGTGAGTTCCAGGCCAGTTGGGAATACAGGAAATCCTGTCTCAAAAGAAGACAATCCTCCAAAAACCAAAGCAAACCAAACAAAAATACAGTTAAATGAAAAAAACCAAGATAAACTGCAAATAATAACAATAATAATATTAATAACAATAATGATACAAGGCTCCATAGGATTTGCTTTGAACTACATGGGTATTCTTTGGTTGGCTGACTTGTTTTATTTTTTAAAGGTTTATTTATTTTATTTTGTGTGTACGAGTGTTTTGCTTGCATGCTTGCAAGTGTACCACATGTGTCCAATGCTTGAGGAGGTCAGAAGATGGTGTCAGATCCCCTCAGAGCTGCAGTTATGGATGGTTCTTAGCCACCATGTGGGTGCTGGGAATCAAACCCGGGTCTTCTGCAAGAGCAGCCAGTGCACTTAACCACTTGAGCCATCTCTCCAGCCCCTTGACTTATTCTTTTATGAATATTTTCAATAGTGAGGATTCTACCTGTCTCATGTTAAAAAGTTACAAAACATTTCAGCTATTTTCTTGAATAATATAACTTACTTGTTTTTTCATCATCTTGAGGGCTAATAAGATCTTCATAAACCTGATAAAAGGTTGTAATTCTGGTACCATCAGCATGATCCACGATCCGTGTACCATCCTTCTTCTCAACAATGACCACCTTATCTTCACGAGTAGTCATAACCTACACATATACAGGCAGACCATCACCACTGGCCTCGATGGGTAAACTCCACATGCTTATTTCTATGCTTTATTGAATAAGGGGGAAAGTGAAGGTTTTATCTTATCTACCTCATCTACTCCTTTTCCATTTAATAGAGGAGGAAATTTAGGCTTACAGAAGTCAAGAAAATTTCTCAAAGTCACTCAAAAATTAAGTACTGGAGCACATTTGTGGATCAAAAGGGTAGCATCAGGATTGGATTGATTTAGGTTAATCTGAGATAAAGTTCACAGGCTCAGATGCACCCTCTCTTGAATCTTCTACCATCTAGAACTTCCGAAAATGACTTTCTCTTGTTTATAAGTTACCCAGGAGCTGACATTTTGTTATAACAGCTTAAACAGACTAAGATACTGGTGAAGTTCTAAATCCACATGTTGCACATGTGAGTATGCGAGCATGCACACAGTGTTGGATGTGGTGATGTGTGACCCAGAACCCCATTTAAGAAAGGACTCACTCCCAAACCTGGGGAGCACAGCCAGCAAGCAGCTACCGGCTCTTGGCTTTTTCAGCGTCTTCCTTTGAAGAAGGCAGATACTTTGCCTTCGACTCAACCCCTTTCTTCACGGCTGTGTCCAGTGACCAAGTGAGGTGGGGTTCCATGGGTCTAGTCATTCCTTCAAGACTTGGGACATCAGGACAGGTAACACTTGCTCCTGAGATGTTTGTTGAGTTGACTACAGCTTTGTTGGGTCCACACTACAACTCAACCATCCCCCCCCCCTTTTCCTTGAACAGATGATATCCCTGAAAAATACACTGGACTCCAAACTCCACCTCAGTGTTTTGTTATGGAGATCGCAATCAACAATCATAGAATTGCAGATTGCATAGTGCGTATTTTAATCATCAGGCATTCTCTTTTTCCAGATGTGTATTGTCTTAACTATAGGAGACAGTGTTTTACTCAGTGGTCTGTATGTGGGAATAAATTCTCTAGCTACTTCTAGGGCTTCTGGGAGCAGGGGATTATATGTTCCTCTATCACCATGGTAGGCAGACATTACTGTGTGAGGGGAAATGTGTGCTGAGCATTGATTTAGGTTCTCATCACTGGCACTTTCATCCAGGAATGCGTAATTGAGAGTATGAGTTCTGTAATCAATCTTCCAGAATCAAATGCTGACACCTCCGCTGGCTGGGTGTTTAGGTACATCCCTTAACCTCTCTCTACTCTGCTTACATCATCTTCAAATTGGAGCCAATGCTAACATGTTCTTAGGAATGTTATGTGAAGTAAATGACACTGATAATGTATTTTATATTCAGTGGCCACTGGGTTAACAATTACTAATGTTAACTCTCTACCTACTAGAGATATTTACACATTATTATTTAGAATTATTCAAACATTTTATAACACCACATTACATTGCTATTTTCTGACCACCATAAGGTGGAATAATTGCTGTTATTCTTAGTGTTAGTAATATACACAGTATTAAGAAGACGTCTGAAATCTTGGTAAGTGCTAGGCATTAACCATTTCAACCATTTAAAAGAATGACTATTATTTCTAGTTTCTCAATGAGGAAATCCAGATTAGAAGCTTGTGTAAAGTCCTATGTCTCCTGGAAACTGTGGCTTGGGCAAAACCCCAGGTCTCCTCACAAGTACAGCACTCCCTCTTAAATATGATATTTAGATCAGGGGTTGTAAAACTCCATTGTTTTTTATGTCAATTCTTGCATAGTTAAGTATATGGGATCTGGCATACAATTTGGGGTTCACATCCTGTCTCTTCATTTGCTGTGTGACCTTAGGCAAAGGCTCAAATTCTCTAGTTTTCTTATCTGTAAAATGGAGACAATAGTTCATTGTGAAAAATGAAAGAGTTGGTATATGGGGAGGGCAGGGACTAGGCACAGTGAGTCCTCGATGCTTGTTATCATCATTGCTTCCATTCTCTCAGGTATCTGGTGCTTAGATTGGGCTGGATTCCGTCCTTGGATATTGGTTCATGTTTCCATAATGGTAATAGGGATCAATGAGGAAAATTAGCATTGTAACTAGGAAATAGTCAGCAAAATTGCATATTAAGTCAAATAATCTACTGTGCTGAATAGCTTTAGTTGTCAATTTGGCACACCTGGGTAGAGGGAGCCTCAACTGGGGAATTTTCTCCACTGACTGGCCTGTGGCCATATCTGTGGGGTATTTTCTTGATTTTTGAGTGATGTGGGAGGGCCCAGCTCACTGTGGGCGGTGCCACCCATGGGCGGGTTGTTCTGTATTATATAAGAAAGAAGGCTGAGCATGGGCCAGGGGAGCAAGCCAGTAAGCAGCATTCTTCCATTGTCTGTGCTTCAGCTCCTGCCTCCAGGTTCCTGTCCAAAGT